AACTATATATAAGGTAATTTTTCTTAGGTTTGGACGTTAAACATCATTCAAATTTACAATTAATTTTTAGTGACGTTTTATGTACACGATTTTGTTCATTCATCACTAATGTTTATAACGGGGTCAACACTCTGACACAAATTCCGTGTCATATGTTTTGTTAATTCTGCAATCTTATCAAATTTACAAAATACTCCGTCATTATGACCAAAAGTGCAAAAATTCAATGAGAACAATTTTAGAAGTCTTTCAGATCAGTATTATGGTTTGTTTTATGCCATCCTTGGTAGGAGACATACACTTTTGACAATTAGTAAATGTATTTCCATCGGGCATCTAATACTGTAAGTAATTTATAAAGAACGTCCATCATTTAACAGTTAATGACTTCTTCTCCATTTCTTCCGAAAAGTGTCAGTTATATACAACTATACTTTTTACTAAATCTTCCACCCATCTCTCTCTCTCTCTCTCTCTCTCTCTCTCTCTCTCTCTCTCTCTCTCTCTCTCTCTGTATATATATATATATATATATATATATATATATATATATATATATATATATATATATATATATATATATATATATATATATCACATAGTAGGTTTGTTTTTCCTATAGTATGTGCAGTTTTATATTTTTGATATTATAACATGTTAAAATATCACTTTATGTGATTATAATTGGTGCAAATAAGCCCATGAAATTATTGTGCGCTATTTTCTTTACTGATTGGATGGGATCGTGGGAAAACGTTTCTAACCCCACCTTCTGGAATGTTTTGAAATGAATGAACATTTGTTGGCGGCCATTTTTTAACTCGACTTGCAAATGGAAATTGAGGAAATATTATATCGGCTGTATCAATGTGGACAGTGGTTAGTTAGGTCATGTTTAGCAATATCATCATAAGAAAAATGGCATAAAACTACAAAACAAGAACGACAATAAGGAGTAAAACTAAGGTAAAGCGGGCGGCGGGTGTGTGTGGGGTGCGTATATCAGTAACATATTGAATCCACCATATATACAAGCGTGGTTTAAATGTTAACTTAAAGTAAACAAATTCACCTTTTTTCTCAGAATAATATGAACATAGTATGTCCTAACTGACAGATCTTTATCCAACCACAACACTTTTACGTAGCATATATGGGATGTAAATCCGACACGAAAATAAATTTGTTTACGTCTTCTGTAAATTATTTTCAAATCAAGCACTACAAATATTAGGTCACAAGTGCAACAAATATTAGGTCACAAGTGCATTGCAGTAAATGTGGGAATTTTTGCATCCGGTAATCCTATTGCCACATGAAAATGACAACAATGTAACGTTTTCTACTGTCGGCTTGCCGTATCGTATCAAACAATGTGACAACATCACATCTCATTGATCATTCTGTTTTGAGAAATGCCTTTGTAGCTATAAAATGTTTTGTTTATTTGGATGGAAGATTTCTCTTTGATTTATAGTTTGTAAAACAGTACAATCTAGTTTTACCAGTTCAACTTTGTTTAGGACTATATTTTATTCACAACAAATGAAAGGTACACCTTCTGTCAAAATGAACGAAATTATTCGTTCTTCTCGCTAATTAATTTCCACTGAAAAAATATGTGACAAAATGAATCTCAGATGTATAACGATTTAATACTAAATTTATTAAACTCGTTGAACAATGTTCAGTTTTTTGTGAGCCAAGGCTCGCTAAAGCTGAACATTATTCAACTTGTTTCATAAATTCAATATTAAATCGTTACCAATTTGAGTTGATGAGATCCTCTCTCTCTCTCTCTCTCTCTCTCTCTCTGTATATATATATATATATATATATATATGTATTTATATATATATATATATATATATATATATATATATATATATATATATATATATATATATATATATATATATTCCTCTTAAGCGTATGTCTTAAACTTGTATGCATCATTAGATACTGTCCGATTGCAGCTGTCATGCATCTGCTCCCTAACAAACATGCAGACATGTTCGCCTTAAACACGTATGTATGTATGTATGTATGTATGTATGTATGTATGTATGTATGTATGTATGTATGTATGTATGTATGTATGTATGTATGTATGTATGTATGTATGTATGTATGTATGTATGTATGTATGTATGTATGTATGTACGTACGTGTGTGTGCATGTATGTATGTATGTATGTATGTATGTATGTATGTATGTATGTATGTATGTATGTATGTATGTATGTATGTATGTATGTATGTATGTATGTATGTATTTATGTATGTATGTATGTATGTATGTATGTATGTATGTATGTATGTATTTATGTATGTATGTATGTATGTATGTATGTATGTATGTATGTATGTATGTATGTATGTATGTATGTATGAATATATGTATGTATGTATGTATGTATGTATGTATGTATGTATGTATGTATGTATGTATGTATGTATGTATGTATGTATGTATGTATGTATGTATGTATGTATGTAT